GATTATATGTCTGCTGCAGTAATGCCAAACTGCAGTGCTGAGGGAAGGCCAGTTACTGATAAATGGCCCAGGGAAATGGCCAGAAATACCATCATCTTCCATGAGAACTTAAGATAATTTGCTCTGTGTTCTGCTGCAGGTTCTAGTACATGGGGTCATGTCTGGTCTGCACTGCTAAAAGCAATGCGGATCCCGATTTCCTGTCAGATCAGGACCTCCGGCTCCAATTTGACAGTCTGTTCTCATTGCTTAAAATCGTCTTTATCCAGAGTGAATTAAAACTACCACTCATTGTATTGCAGAAAGAGCTGGAGAAGCAGAGGAGGCTGGAGAGAGAGCAGCAGCTCCAGGAAAAGGCAAGAGATCACTATAAAAAGGTCCTGCTCAGAAAGCTGGGAATGGTGCCATGGAAAAGGCTGAGGCAGCAAGCCAAGGAAAACCTGGTGGTAAGTGCTGAGGATAAAGGAAAGAACTGGTGACCTAGGAGGAAGGAAAAAAGAATGGATGCAGCAGAAACGTTCATAGGCTCTTAAGACAGGTAGAGATGAAAAAAACAAAAGTTCTCCCTGCATACTGTGCCTTATATTAGTTCTTTAAATCAGTTCTTTAAATCAGTTCTTTAAATCTGACAATAACCATAAAAGCTTGTCAGAAACCCAAAAGGGTGGCATCCTTGTCTATAGACGATCAAACAGGAACCAAAAGAGAAAGGAACAAATTTCAACATAATGAGAAGCCCTCTTTTGTTAGCCTCCACGTGTCTGATGGACTAACTGCCACGTGATTTGATGCCAGTAAAGCAGTGGGAGTTAGTGTAGTATGATACAGCAAAAAAAGGAACTTGAAGTTATAGGACACGAGCCTGTCAGTTCTCTTGCTCCACAGCAAAGCTAATAAGTAATACACCACCAAGCCACTGTAGTTACAGTAGTTAACCCCAGCCCATCTCTAGGGTTTTCCCCCTCTCTGGAGTTCCTCCTGGTGTAGTGTTGGCCACTGGTATAGGTAGAACCACCAGAGGCGATAATCCAGGCTGTTCTAGCCTGGCCATATCTTCAGTGCAGAATAGCAAGTGGCGGCTTCTGAGACCTTGACACATCAGTATTGCTAATGAAACCTTTCCATACATGACTGTATGAGGTCACTTAATCAAGAGTGGACTAAACAGTGAACCATATCCTGAAGATTCAGCCTTGGGCTGTGTTGGCAAGCTTCCACTGGAACCGCAGCTACTACTTACAGCACTCAACCAAATGCACATAGGCCTCCTGCTGGGAGGTAGAGGGATAGCATCTGTTCCCTGAATACATCCTGCTTGTCAGCATTGTGGATGGGGCTGGACTAAATTGTTACAGGCCATGCCTCTGCCCCACTTACAGTAGGTTAAACTGAGCATCTAATTCAAAAAGCTGTTTTCTGGAAGTGACACAGCAGTGGCCTGATCCAGAGGCTGGTCTTACTCCTTATGCTGACCCCTCTTTGTGGGAACCTATCCTGTAAATTATTCCAGCTGTCAGACATCTGTATTCTGGGAGTCCCAAAAAACTGAGATGATTTTTCTAAGTGTACCCAGTTTTCCTTAGCTTTATGTAGTCACTAGTCCTAGTAACTAGCTGCCATCTCTGCTCTCTTTTTTCAGGTGGCACAAAGGCACCACTGCTTGGGCCTACAGAGGAAATGCCTCATGGCTTGGCTTCAGGACACCCAGAGGAGCCTCATGGAGAAGGTGTCTCGGGCTGAGGACTTCTATTCCCATATATTACTGAGACGGGGCTTCAGGAACTGGCTAAAGGTTTGCCTGCACCACAGTGAAGAAATGATAGGCTGTTGCCAGCCTTTCCTACACCACAGTGCCACTTCACATACATGCAGCCCAGCATTTGCTCAGTTACACTTTCCCCATTCCAGAACCCTGACTCCCTTCTTCAGAGACCTTCTTTCAGCTCTCCACTCTGCATCGTTCTTTTCCACCCAGGACACTCTCCTATGCACTGCTTGTCCACCTTTGCGCTGTCTCACCCTGCTCTCCACCGACTTTCCTCCACTCCCGTCCCCATCACCCTTCACTGCACAGTCTCACCACTGCTCTGTTTCTGCTTATTGGGATGGGGGTTGGGAGAAAGAAACCATTCTCACCTCTTTTTCTGTCCTTGTTCCCTAGTACAAGGATTATCTCTCCACACTGGAGGAGAGACTGAGTACCCTCCATGCAGCCTGCCTTATGAGGAGGTATTTCTGTGCATGGTTTGATCTGTTCATGGAAGAAAAAAGTATCTTATGGGAGAAGATGAAGATTGCTACTGAACATAGTAACAAGTAAGTGCACTCCCTTGCCAGCAGTTCTTTTTAATATACTATATGGAGTGTTTTAGACACTGCTTTTGACAGGTCTGTTACCTGCTCCCCAAAATCACATGAAAATAAGTTCGTTACTGCCGCTGTTTTGTTTCTATGATATGCACAGACAACATGAACAGGGGTTTATGATAAGAATTTTCCATGCAGTCTGGAAAAGGAAATCTAGTGGTAGACTTCATAGGACTTTTAAATCTGCTGAAAGGGAATACAGTGAAAGTGGATAAGTAATTGAACCTTTCTAAGCTGATTAGCAGATCTGGCCGTGCAGCTTCTGCTAAAAGCTGCCTTAAGAAAATCTTCAGGTACAGTGACAGCAAGCCAAGTGATTGTGCAGGAATTAAGCTTTATTGTTTTGTCCACAACAGATTATTTAGTTCACAAATCCAAAGTTGATGAAATAGAAAGCCTACTTAAGGAATCTTTCCATTTATGCCATCGTCAGCCTGAGTTGGCAGTGAGAACTACAGCAGGCAGTTCTATTGATCATGACTGGAGCTGGCGCACTCAGTTCACTCACTGTCCCATAGCTGTGCGTTTTAGCAGAAAACATGCATGTGCACATACCTCACCATAAAGCATGTCAGCTGCCTGCAGTCACGAATAGGCTGTCACTGCATAGCCCAAACAGGATCTACAGCACCTCGGAGGAAGAATTAAATTAAATTCACCTCTTCTGTGGCAGAGCAAACCTGTTTAGCTTGCTGTAGCAGATCAGAACAGTGCATAATTTAACCCAACAAGCCAGCAAACTGGAGCATCCGGGGAAATTCAGACCCAGCAAAGAATGGGTTCATTCTACATATGACCTCATATCAGGAGCATAATCACATGTTGTTCTCATTACCTTTTCCCCCATTGACTGGCAAAAGTCAGTTCAGACCCTGACATAGCAAACTGTTCTTTAGACAGGACTGTTGCTCCCTATTGCCCATTTGGGAACCCAGGGCACAAGGCACCTTTGTGGGGGTAATTAAAATCAGGTAAGAATTGAAGCCCAGCTGCCTGCACTCCCAAGGGGTTGGTCTGGACAAAACGAGCCTGCATTTTTCCTGAAGAAACTTTTTCAGAGACCCTTTTATTCTTCAAGAAATATCTTTCATCTTCAGAATGCTGAGCAAATTCTAGCTAATGAATCCTGTTAGAGGGAGAAGTAAAATTCTTGGGGGAGAGGAGTAGAGAAGGTAATGTGTTATTTTCCCCTGCCATGATTGGCATATTAATGGAGTGGTGTGCACAGAGATGTATGTCACAGACGTGACTAGTAGCAGAAAAGACAAATCCCACTGCTATTTTAGGGGAGTTCCCCTCTCAAATGGAAGTATTTTTTTGATTAACTGTTCTGTTAGCAGCACATCTGCATGTTGTCACTTTGTTCTTTGTGTCCCCCATTTCTTTAAGGAAAGTCATGATGAATGCATTCAAGACATGGAGGCAGTACCCCTTGCTGATGAAAGAGGAAAGAGAGAGAGAGGAAAGGAGGAACCAGCTACGCAGGAGAGTAGCTGAAATTCTCCCTGACTTCCAAATATGACAGAAGAGAGTCAAAGGAGACAAAAAGACTGATTCTGTCCGCTGCTGTCTTCACACTGACTGAAACAAATCCAAAGGGAAGCCCTTTCCAGGGCTGTTGTGGTTTAACCCCAGCTGGTAACTCAGCACCACGCAGTCGCTCACTTTCCCCCTGCCTTTTTCTCCCCTCACTGGGTAGAGGGGGAGGCAAATCTAAATAATGTAAACCCCTCTGGTTAAGAACAGTTTAATAACTGAAATAAAGTAAAATATAGTGGTAATAGAAATAATACCAGCAGTAATAAGAGGAAACAACAAGAGAAGAAATGAAAGCTCAGAAAGCACAAGTGATACACAATACAGCTGCTCACCGCCCACCGACTGATACCCAGACCAACTCCAGCAGCGATCGGTCCCTTCCTTGTGACTCTCCCCAGTTTCTATACTGGGCATGATGTTCTGTGGTATGAAATGCCCCTTTGGCTGGTTTGGGTCAGGTGTCCTGTCTCTGCTTCCTCCTGGCTTCTTGTGCCCCTCCTCACTGGCAGAGCATGAGACTGAAAAGTCCTTGATCAGGGCAAGTGCTACTGAGCAAGAGCTAAAACGTCGGTGTGTTATCAGCATTATTGTCAGACTAAACACAGCACTGCACCAGCTGCAGGGAAGGAACTTACACTAAGCATATTATGGAAACTTACCTGACAGTTTCACTGTGTGCTTCAGAGGGTTATTCCCCAATGTCCTTCTGCTGTGAGGTCTCTGTAGGAGTGTCTTGGCTGCTGGCATTGAGGCCTAGGTAACCAAAGCCTAGCACAGGGTTTTTTTCAGGCCAAGATCATTTCCACGTGCAGAGCTGTGGCACTGATATGAAGCCTCCATCACCTGAAGCGCACAACTGAACACCTGTTTTTTCTTAAGCAGTAACCTGGTGCTTTTCTGTTGGCAGTGCTTGATGAGAGAGCAACAGACCTGTCAGACTACCAGCTGACCCCTGAGCACTACTGCAAACTTGGCTTAGTTCTTAGCTAACTGTGCCAGGAGGGTCTGGATGCATTGAGGACAGAGATGAGCTATCTATGCACATCATATTTGCTAATGATCCAGATCACAGCATGGCGTACGGGTGATCTATAGGGACTGCCTATTTCACAGCACCGGCCAGCTCACATGCACAGTGCTCTGATTTTTGCGGCAAGCACGGATTCCAAGTTCATGAGCCTTGTAATTTAAGGTGGGTGTAGGTCGTGCTGGAGGCCTCATCACAGCTGTGGCAAGGCCTATGTTGTATTTAATAGTGTTTTTACGTAGTGCTATGCATGCAGCTGGTTGGTGCCAGGCGGGGCAGGTGCTTGCTAGTGCTGTTATTCTTCGGGGAATGTCAGCGTATTAAGATGCTCATTTCATTGTTTTTTATTTTGGGTATTCTGTGCTGACCAGAGAGATCTGGATGGAGCACCTCTCCTAGAAGAAAAGGCTGAGTTGGGGTGTTCAGCCTGGAGATGACTTCAGGGAGACCTTATTGTGGCCTTTCAGTTCTTAAAATGGGCCTATAGGAAATACGGTGCTAAGCTTTTTAGCAGGACCTGTTGTGACAGGAAGAGGGGGGATGGTTTTAAGTTAAAAAAGGGGAGATTCAGGCTGGATGTGAGGAAAAAATTCTTTATGATGAGGGTGGTGAGACACTGGCACAGGTTGTCAGGGAGGATGCCCCATCCCTGGAGGCAATCCAGGCCAGGCTGGATGTGATGTTGGGCAGCCTGATCTAGTTGAAGATGTCCCTGCTCATGGCAGGGGTTTGGACTAGATGGGTTGGAAGGGACCTTCGAAGCTCAAGCTACTCTATGATTCTATTACTGTCAGCTCTACCAGTGGAAGCATGTGTATTGTACAGAAATATGACCTTGGGAAGAAGTGTGTGTGCCGTGTGTGCCCACTGGGTATTTCCTTATCACCTGGGTGGAATTGCAAGCAAGCAGTGAAGAACCACCACCACCACATGGAAGAGTGCTGCAACACCCTCAGCTCCTCTTGCCACCCCTGCATGGCAACTACCTTGGCTGGGTATGGCAACTGTGGGAGTGGGGCTGAATGACAGATCCTGCTTCGAGAGCTTTTAAAGCCTTCAAGTGTTTTAGTCATCAGTATGATAAAGCATTGTAATAGCTAACAAAATATCATGTAAAGTGTCAGAATATTTCTCAGTATTTAAAAAGAACTGGAATATGACTGGCTGATGGAGCTGGTGGTGTTCAGCCTGGAGAAGAGAAGGCTCCAGGGAGACCTTAGGGTAGCCTCCCAGTGCCTAAAGGGGGACTAGAAATCTGGAGATGGACTTTTCATAAGGGCATGTAGGGAAAGGACAAGGAGGAATGGCTTTAAATTGAAAGAGGATAGGTTTAGATTAGATAATGGAAAGAAATTCTTTACTATGAGGGTGCTGAGGCGCTGGCACAGGGTGCCCAGAGAAGCTGTGGCTGCCCCATCCCTGGCAGTGTTCAAGGCCGGGTTGGACAGAGCCTTGGGTTACATGGTCTAGTGTGAGGCATCCCTGTACATGGCAGGGGGTTAAAGCTAGGTGATCTTAAGGTCCTTTCCAACTCAAACCGTTCTATAATTCTATGATTCTATGGTGTGCTTTGCCTCTGTGTGCAGTACTCTAATGGAGATTTAGTTACTGAGTAGTCAAGTCTATTTAGAAAGAGATTACCAATTTACAGGAATTAGCAAGTCTCACTGTAGAATACATAATAGCCTTACACTTCTGCCCAGTCAGGGTTTTTCCCTTTGTATTCTTTAGACATCTTTTTTTCGTAGTTAAACACACTGCATTGCAAAATCCGGGTGTGATTCACGGCAGTGGTTAAGGCCCTTTCCAACCCTGACCATTCTACAATTTTAGGATTCCTTGATTTCATCTTTCCTGAAAGGGAGCAGCACTCTTAAGCTAGTGGTTAGAGAAGAATTTTTCTGGAGAACTGGCTTGATTCATGAGAGAAATGAGAGTTGTTATGAGAGTGGGATTTCTCACGATTACGAAACCCTCGGAGTAGGGAGAAGATTAGAAGGGGAAATACATGTAACCACAGATCCGGATATCACGGCTTGTGTAAGAATTCGATCTTAATCTTGAAAACCATGCTGTAATGGTTTTAGTTGTTAATTTATCAGAAACTTTTGGGGGTAAACTTGTAAAAGTGCCATTCTGTTACCTATAAATCATAGTAAACTTGTACTGTAATAAAATTAATGTTTTATATTTTTTAATTTATTTTTATTTAGTTTTTCAGTTTTTTAAAGCGTCTTTTTTCTACTTGAATCTGTGGCCAGCCTTGAGGGGTTTTTAATACCAGGCAGGCTGTGAGCTCCACCAAAAGCATCAGGATTCATTCAAGAGGTACTACTCCAACAGTTCTGAGCACCGGGGGGGGGACACAAGCTAAGTCCTGAAAAGGCAGTGCCAGCATCCTTCACTAGTTTGTGTAAGGCACTTTCAGAGCAGGTACCTCTGAATTTTGGTGTGAGAAGAAGTGTATCATTACGAGAAAAGCTGTGGCCGTAGCAATATGCACCCAAGTGGAATGGGCAGTTGCTGAGCTTTGAGTGTCTCACATCTGTTTGTGACAGTGAGCCTGCAACTCAAGAGTCACCTTGAAGGATTTACCTGACAGTGGTATGTCAGTAGAAACTACAGTGTAAATGGTAACAGTAGTTTACTAACTGGATTTCCAACTGGCGTAATTGCCACTGTAAGTCCCCTTGCCATACAACAGAGTCCAACAGTCACTAGTTCAAGATTCTAATTGACACTGCAAAAAAACTTTCTGGGTGTTGATTTAGTAAGGGAGTCCTTTCCTGACACTGATTTCAGAGGGTTTTAAAACTGTTTCAAGGGTCATATATGGGTGGCACTGTACATTACATATACGTGAGCTGGACTTACTGGTTTTCAGTTCAAGAGGGAGCTTAACATTTCCTTTCTTTTCCCAAGTCATGTGTAAATGAGTAAGCGTTAACAATTTATTCACAACTAGTGGCATTATGTATACCTGAAGGTACATATGTCAGATTTTCTTCTAAGATCAGGTGAATGGTCTTGGATAAGTGTGGTAGGTATTTTACTGGGACTATTAACAGTTTGATTTTACTGGTGTTGAGTTCTCCATGCTCTAACTTGTATACGAATGAGTACTGCATACTGGGTGCATGCTGAGGCTGCCTAACTGGCGGTTGCTTGGGTGCACTTAGTTTTTCTTGTAACAATAATCTGTATTGAAAAGTTGGAAGGAGAGAGTCAAATTGACTATACCCTTACTTATTCTATGTAACGAAGGCTGTGCTTTTATAACAGTTGGACAAAGCGTCAAAGATTTGAGATAAAGAGGGAATGAAAAGGAATAACAAGAGCTGCCTTAGTGAACTTTAGTCAGAATCGGGTGACATTTGAAAAATGGAAGCAAAAACATAATAAAAGCTCACTGGTTAAGTAAGCTGGGTTGATTTTCATATGAGTACTGCATCATCTTCTTGTAGCTGCACTGAAAGTGGAAAAGCCTTTGAAGAGACCTCCCATCTGCTGCAGAAGCTTGCGTAGCACAGCTTTGTTGAGCTGCTCAGAATCGTTAAAGCCAGCTGAAGAGACCAATCACTTAAAAGTAATGAAACACACAACACCAACTGTTGTGGTAGGAAAAGAGGGAGACCTAGACCTTATGCTTAGAAGCACTGGGAAGGATACGCTACAAAAGACATTTCTGGCATGCGTCTGCTTCACATTTGAGTGGTTATGGTATGTTTTTCTTACTCCTGCAGTGGAAATAATTGGGGCCAGATATAGGCAAACTGGGCATCCAGACTTCTCACTTGAATAATGCAGAGTTTACCTGCCTCTTTGCTTCATTATGAACGCCAAGAAACTGAAGGTTTTCCTCTTGTATTTACCCACTGAACTGGTTTGTAAATAAATGAGTTTCACAAAAATCAATGTTTCTTCATCAATTTTGTAGTTGGGAACACAGAGGGAATGATTGAAGTGACGTACCAAAAACACCCAGGAAGTCAGGGGTTGAGTGAGGTTTGTGGGACTCTAAGCTACATCTCTCTCCCGTAGAAGGATGCCACAGACCTCTGGATTTAGCCTAGGGAATGACACCTTGGAAAAAGCTCGGAAGATAACTTTGTGCAAGAATAATCCATATACACTTCTCAGAATTATTTTCAAGTTCTTACAGAAAAATCCTTCTGTCACCAGAATGACTTTTTGTTCCGAGTTTCTTTTGCCCGTCTCGGTGCCTCTAATTGCAATTGAATGACGCTTAAAAGAAGACACAGGGTGGATCTCTGAGGTGATGTACCTCTAGTTATTCTGCTTCCTGAATTCCAATGTGTAACAGTGTTATCAGTAGTACATAACATAATTGCTTACGTGTAAATCCACTGATAGGCAGAGAGGGAAACAGATTAGAAACCAGTTCCAACCCTTAAAGAGCAGAAACCACTCTATTTACTAAAGTCTTTCAATAGGAGGAGTCATGAATTGCAGAAGCCTGTATACAGCTTTGCTTTCTCCTTCCTACTGTGCATGTCACTTACTTCATTAGTGGCATTCAGTTAGGTTAGAAACCTAGCATGCTGAAAGGAAACATGCAATTTGTCACTTGTCTGTGGATTTTACCTATCACTTTTCTCCGTTTCCACGTGCTGAAATTGTGTTTCTTCATCTATTTGATATCCTGGGTGAAATCAGGTAAGAACCATTAGATTATTCTTCGTGATGTATTCTTTGCTTCTATTAAAGCATTTAAAAAAAAGGAGTATTCCTTCGTTTAAGTTGGCCAAAATATTTATACCTTGTGAATTATGTCTTGTGGAACAGAAAATTAGTAAAGAGAATTTGATCACTTTGAAACTGAGACGTAGGTTTTCATTTTAAAATAAATAAAACGAAGCCTGATACTTTATCTCTGGCTGTACTTTGCACCCAGACATGCTCAGGTATGTGCACTTTGTACAAAGTAAAGAGGTAATTGTGAAATACTTTTAACATAGTAGCATAATCTTATTGTTTACTGCTGATTTGATAGGTTGACAGGTATTCAAGCTATGTCATGCTTTAAATAGTAAAATTTAGTTACAAGGAAGTCACTGTGCACTTAAGATTTTTCCCTTTTTGACCACTGAAGATACTTATAGCAAACATACACAGGAAAGTTAAAATTGCATATAAATTGAGTTAAACTGAACATGTGACAGCCCAACGCCTGTCTACATGTTCTGATTATACAGAAAAGTGTATGTGAGTACTCCCACAAGTGTGCACAAAGGGCAGTTGGGATATTCCTTCCAGTAATCGATCAGAAATAGGAGTTTGAAAAACCTCCCCTTAATGAATCCTTACTAAACTATGCAACGTATTAAATCTAAAAATCTATTTACAGTACTTACCTAATTCCACAGTAAAGACATCATCTTTTCTTTGTTTGTCTATTTGCTTTCACAGAATAACCACTGTCATTTCACAGTCATAAGTAAATGAGTTGTTTCCCTTTGATGTTTCCCAGCTAGTAAATAGGTTTCGTCAGTTAAATTATTTCCTTGTAGTAGATTTCTCAGTTCCATGGACAAAACTGCTTTGTGTCACTGTCATTGCACTGCCTTTAGAAAAATTAATTCTTATTTCTACCAATCAGATGATAAGCATTCAAAACACTTAAATGGATATGCTCAACATTATCTTAGCATAACTCTTTTATATGCTAGATATGTAGGACTGAATTGTATGGATCAGTGATTAAACTTGGATTTAAGAAGAATATTAGGCAAAAATGAGTTTCATGTTGTAGCTTTGAATCTGAATAGCAAAAATGCAATCATAGAATCATAGAATAGTTAGGGTTGGAAAGGATCTTAAGATCATCTGTCAAGCCGCTGTTTTTCATTTGAGTTATGTATAAGTTATGTATATTTGTGTAATAGAACTTGTATTCTAGTTTTATCATTGCATATCATTATATGAAAACTAGAAATTAAATGTGATACATTCTATTAATACCTCAGTATCATGTCATATGTATGATATTTTCCTAGGTTCTTTATTATTTTTGTTAAACTCAAGGCAATTGCAGCGGATCAGCTTTCAGTTTCAGAACTTCTGCTTGGATTTAAACTGAAAGAGGATAGATTGAGATGAGCTCTTAGGCAGACATTCTTCCCTGTGAGGGTGGTGAGGAGCTGGCACAGGGTGCCCAGAGAAGCTGTGGCTGCCCCATCCCTGGCAGTGTTCAAGGCCAGGTTGAACGGGACTTGGAGCAACCTTGTCTAGTGGAAGGTGTCCCTGCCCGTGACAGGAGATTGGAACTGAGTGAGCTTTAAGATCCTTTCCAGCCCAAACAATTCAGTGATAAGTCTGATCAATGAAATGAGTTTCCTTCCTGTATCACTAGTCAGTTAATAACCTTCACAGTAATCTCAGTCAAAGTTACTTAAATTATTCAGTGTCTAAATGAAGAGGACAGTGATATTTATATTGAAATATTATTAAGTCTAACTTTTCTCACATGTAATAATTTTAGCTATTGTGATGAAAATAAGGCATGAAACTTTAGTCCAGTTGATTTGAGACTGAATGTTTCAGGCTTTTTCTAAGACTCTGTAACTTCAACCCTGCTCTGGTTGCAAATATCCATTATTTTTTGTGATGTCCAGTCCAGAGGTAACCGGTCTAGTCATTTGACATACATGGTTTGGCCATATATGAGGTGATTAGTCTAGTTCCCTGACTGAATTAGTGTTTCTAGCGTCTTTACTGAATGTTAGGTGCTGTAATTCACATTGTTTTGTTTTGTATAGCTTTGATTAGATTTGCTTTATGGTATCAAATGCATTTTTCAGATACCTTGTAACCCACACGCACACGCTTGCCTTTCACAGCTTTATCAACTGGTGAGGGCTTGCTGGGCGTCTCAGATGTGCACATGTTGTGGCTTCAGTTCTTCCTGCTTGCTGCTTGCTGGGAAAAGGAGAAGAGCTACATCTGCTTCTCCTTGACCTCAAAAGTTCTGAGGAATTCATTTGATTTTAAAACTATTTTTTTAAGGAACTGAGTAGGTACTATTTCTACTTTTGCTTTCTGGAAGTTGACCTGTTTTACAAAGTTGTTAATGACAGAAGAACTGAGGAAGGTGTCATCACATATCAGGCAAAAGACTTGCGCAAAGTAGTGTAGCCAAGAAGTCAAGAGATGGGCCTGTATTTCTTTGGACATCAACCAGCTGACACCATAGTGAAGGTGAATGGGCCACGCAGAAGAGCTGTGACAGGCTTCAGCATTGCGCCTAGAATCCTGAAATGTCTTATCCACACAATGTGACCTCAGCAGCCAAAGGTTACTTTTTAAAGGGTTAACTTTTGACCTTGATAAGTACAGTCTTTTTAGGCTCTTTTGAAAAACGCCTTCCTCTTGTTGATCCTGACTGGTCTGTAGCTTAACTTTGTATACCATAGCTACCGGAGTACAGAAATCATAGAATCATAGAATAGTTAAGGTTGGAAAGGACCTTAAGATCATCTAGTTCCAACCCCCTGCCACGGGTAGAGACACCTCACACCAGACCATGTTGCCCAAGTCTCTGTCCAACCTGGCCTTGGATGCCAGGGATGAAGCATTTACCATTTCTTTGGGCAACCTGTTCCAGTGCCTCATCACCATCACAGTAATGTCAAATACCACAGTTTTCTTGTGCCAGTATGTACATTGACCTTACAGATTCTTGCTATTCAAACTCAGAACAGGATACTATTTTTTTCATCTTCTTTCTTTGTTTCTTGGCAATAGTGTCCTTAAAATGATCCAAAATTAGGGAAAGGGTCTGGGTCATCCCTATACTGTCAGGCAACTGTTTCTTACTGCTAGATCAATGAGGCTAAGGATTGGCAACATTGCTACCCTGGCCAAAAGAAGAAGAGACGACCACAATGGTTTTCCTGTCCAAACAACGCACACTAGTTGTGAAAAAGTTCTGAGAACCTAAATTTGGTGGTTTTAAGCAAAGGATCTTATCAACACTGACTATTAGTTCATATTAATTATAGAGAAAACACTATTCAGGGACAATTACAAAGGTTGATTTTGTATTAGAAGGGTTCAGAGAAACGTAGTGGTATTTGCAGAGTCAGTAGTTAAACTGCGTGTTGTTCAGTGCACATTCTGGCACCATATTCCAAAGGTCTGGAGTGAATAAAAAGGAAGCTCTTCACTTTTAGTGGAAAAATGTGGAAGAAGAAGTGAAGAGGTGGTATTTCAGGTGCTATTTCAGGTGGTCTAATTCATCAAATGACTGTCCAACATTTTCATCTTTTTCAGATGACGAGAAAAAATGTCCTGAATTCACAGATCTTAATATAGGCAATGCTCTATCTGGAACAGAACTCCAAGTTCAGTTACTGCTGTACACAAGGGAAAACCCAAATTGTTCTGAGAGGCTCATTGAACACAATGTTGCTGCATCTGAGTACCTTAATACCTCCAAGAAAATTGTCTTTGTTATTCATGGCTTCAGACTAACGGGATCTCCACCAGCATGGCTAGGTGATATAAAGGAGCTTTTACTGTCTTCAGAGGATATTAATCTTATTATAGTTGATTGGAATCGTGGTGCTACAACTGTGAACTATGTATCTGCTGTTGACAACTGCAGAAAAGCTGCAGAAATACTGAAGAACTATGTTGACCAGATGCTGGTAAGGCAGAGAGTTGCATCTGCTCTGAATAACTTTAAATAGCAGAGTTTGGCTGGGAATGGATATTTAAATATCTCTAAAAAGAAGCCCAGTGAGCAACATCAAATGACATTTCTTTACTAAAGTATTTACTAAGTTTGCATGCAGTTATTACTGCGTATCTTAAATTTCAGCTGAGTCCTTATTTCCCTTTCACTGAAGAATGCCTCCGAATTCTTTACTCAAGCTGGAAGTTTTAGGTCTTCTGGAAAGAGCAAATGCACCAGTGAGGAGGTGAAGTGAGAGATGTCCACATAGTATGCAGCATTAAAATTTTACAAAAGCATTGCTTTTTTTTTTACTATTAAACTACTACAATTAAAGATTTTAAGTGAAAAAGAAATCCCTGACAGATATAAATATTTGCTCTCAAATGGTATAAACTTTGTGATTCTAAAGGGAGTTGCTGCAACAATTGTTGATGCTGGTGGTCTTAACTTGGCTTTGAATTCATTGCTTAATCGAGTGAACAAAACTCATTTATGTCATTGTTAGATTTATCACTTGATTTTTCTTCTGTTCTCACTACTTCTTTTCACAGCCATTCTCAGAAATCTTGAATGCTGTGTAGTAAGAAAACATTCATGAAGAATTTGAGTTAAAAAGAATAGTTTTGAGAAAGGCTGGGGTGAAAGAAGAGAAAGCCTATCAGAATCTGTCCTCTGGGACTAGAAATAGTGATAACAAGCTGTAATATGTAAATTTATTGTTAAAGAATAGAAAAATAAATTAGGACTATAAGAATAGTCTCCAACCCAGGGTGAGCTGGAAAAGTATATTTAGCAGTTGTGCAAGTTATCAAAGTGGTGGTCACGGTGTATATTGTGTCCCACAGCTATCACTTGCATACCTGTAAGCTGTCGTGAGGCCTTTGTTAATTCATTCTGAGACATATTAATGTACCAAATCCCACATAACATCCTATCACTTTGCAGAGATTTCAACAGGTCTGCTGACAGTGTTTCAGAGTTCTTCAGTAGTTTTGGTTTTATTCTGTTTTGTTTACTAAGTACTGCCTGCTTTGCAGAATGGGCACCCTAAGGCATTCCTGCAGGTGTGCATTTCGCACCATTATTCTGCAGTTCTGTGCTATGAGTCTTTGTTGATGGTATTATGGGTTTAATCTATTTTATTGGGAGGATAAGGCAGAGAAGATAGTTTTTTGGTTTTGTTTTTTTTTTTCCTATCTCATAGTTTTGGTTCATCTTTCTTGTATCTGGTAAATGTCTTCCCCTTCCCTTCCCTGCTCCCCTTCTAACTAGGGTGGTATTTTGGAAGAAATAAAAAGGAAAAGCTTCCCTTTTACATGTTTCTTGTCAAAGAATTTCATAATTGTTAAACTGTTTAACTAGTACAGAATGGCAAATTGGCAAGAACTTTGTAATTTTCATTTGTTTCTAAAGTTAGAGAAATAACTTCGAGTACTGACAGAAAGTGAAAACTGATGTCTGCTCACTTAACTTTGTGTGGCTATGGCTTTGCTTGGTGATTGATTTTTTTTTTTCCCTAATAGGTGGATGGAGCTTCTCTTTACTCTATGCATATGATTGGAGTTAGTCTTGGGGCTCATATAGCTGGTTTTGTTGGCCAAAAGTATAATGGCAAGCTTGGCAGGATTACAGGTAAGGCTTTTAATCCTGATGTATATATTCTAATGTACCTTTTATCGTTGTCATAGCTGCAAATCACATAGATGCTATCACTGAAATATCAACAAATGAGAATTATTTAGTTATATATGTGAGGAAAAATGTATTCCTGAAACAAGTTCAGGAAATTGAGGAAGTCTTCCTTCAGAACATAAATTGCAGCTGAATTTTACATCCTGTTTACCTCTAGTCTCTCAAATGAAAATTGAGTGCTACATCCAAATGCCAGTTAAGTTAAATGATATGTCTAGTTGACCAAGCAAGTCAGGTACCTCTGAAAGGAGGTTCAAAACCTCTTGGTGAGACCACAGGAATCAGGCACAAGGATTTAGTTTCAGTTTGAAGTATCTGAACATAGTGTAGGCTTCAGTACGTTGAGGTATCTTGTATGGGGAGCTTAGATGAGGTGTGAAACCTGTGAATGGACACTACAAATATTACCTCATACTTGTTGCATGATCGCTATTGACAGCTGCAGGGTTGGTGCTGTTGTGGTTTAACTCCAGCCAGCAACCAAACCCCAACCAGCCACTCACTCATTCCCCACACAGTGGGATAGGAAAAAGAACCAGAAGAGAAAAAGTGAGAAAACTCATGGGTTGAGATAAAAACAGTGTAATAGGTAAAGCAAAAGATGCGCGTGCAAGCAAAGAAAAACAAAGAGCTCATTCACCACTTCCCATGGCAGGTGTGTTCAGCCATCTCCAGGACAGCAGGGTTCCATCATGCACAACAGTGACTTGTAAAGACAAATGCCATCACTCCAAAAGTCCCCCCACTTTCTCCTTCTTCCCCCAGCTCTTTATGCTGAACATGACACCGTACAGTCTGGAACACCCCTTTGGTCAGCCTGGTTCAGCTGTCCTGTCCGAGTCCTGTCCCAACTCCTTGTGCACCCCCAGGCCACTCGCTAGTGGAGTGAGGAGCAGAAAAACACTTGGCTCTGTGTGAGCACTGCTCAGCAGTGACTGAAACATCCCTGTGTTATCAACACTGTTCTCAGCACAATCCAAAACACAGCCCCATATTAGCTACTATGGAGAAAATTAACTCTGCTCCAGCCAGAACCAGCACAGGTGTTTAGAGTGAACAATGGAATACCCTCAATGTGGGTACATCTTTCGGGACTACACAGTTTATGTTTAACTTTTAGTTGCTGATTCCTATTGCAAAAGCCGTAGTGCTGACTCGAGTGCACCTGAGGCTCCAAATACTTCTTGCAGTGAAATAGCAGAACTCACTGCAGCTAGTGTGTTGAGAGGGAAACTGACTAAGCTAACTCTCAAAAAAGATGCTAAGGGGAGAAGAGACTGTTGGAGCCTGATAGTGTTTAGGATTTAAGAGATCAGCTGTTTTCATGCTGAAAGGAGGAAATTGCCTCTCCTTGAGATTTATATCTCCAAACCCTCTCTTCAGAGTACTTAAGTGATTTGTTTCCAGAAATGTAAGAAGAGCCAGAAGCAAGCCTTAACAAAGGGCATTAGAGACTCCACACCTCTTTGTACAGTAATCTGAAAATTAGGGCATTTTCTAAGAGTGTGACAGGCTCCAGCTATATTCCACTGGTTAAGAGTACTCAGTTATGCTTTACACAATTCCCTAGAGTTTGCATCACTGCTTGAGGGCAGACTTGACTACAATGCTAGGCTAGCAGGTCTGTGTCCTCTCTGTACAATAAATAGCTCCATGTAATTTCTGAACTCAGTTGCTCACAGGTAAATGGAATTATATGAGATATTTCAACCGCCTTCTTATAATTACAGATGTGCATATATAAAGGAAAAGATTGAGCAGTCTGAACACACAAGGATTATAACCTCTTATGAGACTGTTTTGATACTTTCAAACGAGTTGAGCCGGTGGCTCAAAATATTAGAAATGTTGGAAAAATGAGATTTAAAAAAAAAAAAAAGAAGAAAAAGTTATTTTCCTCCTCACTGTTTAGAGGTTTTGAAAGTATAAAACTAATTAGTGGACTAAACCAACGACCTTTGTCACCTAGGGTACTATGAATGCAAATTCCTGGCATTCCATGATCCTCTGTGGTAGTCTGGGACTTGGTTATCTTGATCTTGAGAGAGAACCTTCCTAGACTAGTTCTTAAAGCACATCTGGCAGTTAAATCATAATATAAATTTAGATAATCTAAGGTCATGCAATGTCCCTGTCCTTTAGTCAGTGCGAATGTAATTAGGAGTCATTGAAGTGTAGGAATATGTTTTGCCTTGACAGTTTAATTTTCCATGTTTGCTGCTTTTTCTTTTCCTCATTTTGTCTGTGCTTTTGTTGTCAAGAAAATAGGAGCAGAAGAAACTTCAGCTAAAAATTTCACTTTTCAGTGAAGGACAGAAATTATCATTTTGAAATTTACCAGGCTTCAGGGCTGCACAACAATAATTCCCTATCCCTAAAGTGCATGAGAATCCGCAGTGTTTATGTTTCTCAGGATTTGATCCCTAATGCTGTTGGCTCATCTTCATCTGGGGAAGTGGGAGATAAGCACAACGAATTATGGAGAGAGAGAAATTCAAAGAGGTGGGTTGATCAGTCTTGTACGAACCCTCCCTTTGCTTAGAAAGTTGAAGAATGGAAACTTGAGAAGAACTGTACTGGATTTTATTTTTATTCTTATCCCAGGAATATGAAGAGTCATTGATAAATAGTGCTTAAATAGAATCTCATACATCGGTCTTGTATCTATCTGCCAGGATTTGTAATGCTAGTGTTATTTTTATTTAGGTCTTGATCCAGCAGGCCCTTTGTTCACTCGAGAGCCACCAGAAGGGAGACTGGATCGAACTGATGCACAGTTTGTTGATGTAATCCATTCAGATACTGATGGTAATGACTAATGGTAATAGCTTTCCTATTTGAACTTTAGGAAAGGCAGGAAAGCAAAAGAGAAAGGATATTTCAGTAACATTTTGTGTTATGTAGGTTGCTGTGCTGTTGCTTTCTAACAATATCTATAATTTTGAAATCATGCTGTATGTTATTACGCCTATTCATCAAAAGAAATTGAAACTCAGCTTTGCTAGTAACTTAAGCAGTGATGAGCTGTTTTGTTCAGTTCTCACATAAATAGCTAGGTTATTGAGTAAGTGAAGCTGGATGGCTGAATCTGAAAATATTGAAATAACTTTAATGCCAACAGCTAACTGAAAGCATATGTAGATAACCAGATAGTCATGAGTCTATTTAATGTAATGCTAAAGTAGTGATAATGCCAGTCATTTATGTTTTGTTTGTTATAGTATATTCCTTCTGAATATGAAAAGAGCAAGCCCACACACTGAGTAAAGCACGCCTATTGCATTGATTTATGATACTGCCACTTCCAAAATGGTTCAGTATTAACATTTTTTTTTGCTGTGCTACTGTATATGAACATAGCAGTTGTTAGCATGTGATTATCACTGAATTAGTCCTTTCTGAGGCACCCCATCTCAGCTGTATCATGTTAGTACACTACAGATCTAGTGCTTAAAGTTGTAAAACACATTATTGTAAGGTTAAAACAAAGAATATTGTAAATGCTCACCCATGCTATAATCTGGTTTAATGTTTTCCTCAGAATTATAAGTAAACCTTTCACACCTACCACTCTCATTGCAGTATTTGTGTAGTTTCACACCAGTTTCTTTTATAATGTTGAAAATTAAGCTTTTTACTACACAAATTTGTATGTGAATCTTTAAAAAACTGGGGTTTTAATGTTCATATTATGTGAATAAAGATAAGTTGTGGTAAAAAGGAAGACAGGTAAGATTGAGCTAAAGCTACTCATCGTCTTTTATGGAGCAGATACAGATTTTTTTGCTTTGATATATTGCTTATATTAGTGTAGCTCAGAATCCAATATTGTATGCAAAAAAAAAAAAATGGAAGATCTTATTGTAACAAAAATTACATTGGGAAAGAATTTTGTTTGTTGGAGAGAACATGAATTTCATTGTTTTCTTTGTGCAAATAATGTCTGATACAGCACTGAATAGTTGCTTCTGTTTTTTCCTTTTTCTTTTGTGACAGTACGAATCTTGACACAAATTTTTATACATTTATGTACAGCATTTCACATGTGTATAATTTTCAAACAAAGGAAACAGTATGATTGCAAAATTTTCCTTTAAGACCTCCATGTTATTTTGTAAGGAATGCAATGATAAATAACTGACTAGGTAGTTCTGCTTATGATTTTGATTCCTGATGTTTTTACTTTAGCGCTAGGTTTCAAGAAACCTTTAGGAACCATTGATTTCTATCCAAATGGAGGAACGGATCAGCCTGGTTGTCCACAAACAATATTCAGCGGTAAATATGAATGTGTTCAATTAATGAGAAAAGACTGAGATCAAATCAAAAGAAGTTAAGCTGAATTCAATGGACACGGCACGTATTCATTAATATGGGAGCTGAGGCCTTTGGATTCTTTCTTTTCCACCTCCACTCAGCAAATGAGAAATAACAAATACATTTGACATCTTTTTTTTTTGTATTTTCCTATGAGCATACGTATTCCACCATATCATTATTATTGTTATGATAAAATTATATTATATATATACAACTAGCACATAGTGATCATTATTATTCTATGTTTATATATGATTAGGCATGGGGGAAGCTGTGTCCAAGTGGTTTAGACAGGATCACTTGCATATGACATGGAAGGCAAGGCTTTCAAGTCTTCACTGTGTCTTAGATTCCTCCTCATTGGCAGTAATGCACTAGGGTTTGAAGGGTCCTGCAAACTCTAGGATAAAAACAATTTTATGACATGATCTTTTGCTGCAAAATTTTGCTTTTTCAGCCCCCAAAATCTTAAGCAAGGCTGCTGCCCATTGTTGTTTTTTTTTTTACTCTTTTTGCATATGTTTAAGTCTGTCTGTTTCTATTACAGCACCACTAATCTGCATAGTGGTGCTACAAATTAGAGCTGCTGCAAAAGCATAGAGCTTCCACTTGTATGTCTGTGAGTTTGGGAGAATTCCTTAAAACTCAGGATCGTCTTCATCTGTACAGTTCTCATAGTTTGTTCTGCTAGGAGAGGGAGGAATTTATTACCCCCCAAAACAGCCTGCAATGAGGCAAATTTTAACTCAGACTCACGTTTTCTAGCAAAAAAAAACTGTAAATCTGTTATGATTTGGGAGACTATTTCTTAAATATAAAACCTTTAGACTTTTGTCTGTACATGTGATATTCAAAATAGTCTTCAATTTTTTCTTGTGTGTGTGTGACCATCCAATTGGTGGTCAACTAACAAAAGAATAAAAACAGGGCTAGCTAAGAATAACCCAGGTAAATGGGATTACTTTGATAAAAGCTTTTATTTTATGAAAAAAAAATTACATATTCTCTGAGTATTTCATTTTTTCTTTCCTAAAGGACTTCAGTATTTTAAGTGTGACCATCAAAGATCCGTCTTTCTTTTCTTATCATCTTTGAAAAGAAGATGCGACATAATAACATATCCTTGTGACTCTTACTTTGATTACAAGAGAGGAAAATGTGTTGATTGTGAAGCTTTCCACCCAATGTCCTGTCCAATACTGGGTAAGTGTTGTGAAATTTGCTCTAGGCTGGGTGAGAGTTTGCAGGAAATACAACCTAGTTATTTCGGGTCCACTCCAGATACCTGTAATATCGTGTTAAGGGATCCGTAGAGACTGATCACATGCAAAGCTGCATACTGTTTAAACTAGTTTAAAGTTTATGGCTTTGTCTGCTTTATAGCTATCTCTGCTAGGCACAGGTGCTGAGTGTTCCTAATCTTGATCATTATACTTTCTAGTCTGAAATGGGTTCACAGTATATTTCCTTTCTACAGAGAAACTGCTGCTTCCTAGTTCATCACTTTTACAAGCTTTGACAGTATGTTACCATCCCTAGAGCACATTTATTGAAGAGTAATAATATTTATAGAGCCTTCATGGTTTCTCTGTCTCTTCTTTTGGAACCAAGCTTTTATTTGGAGGGGTTTTTAGCCTTTTGGGATTTTATTGCTTTTAGAGAGGATCTGGGAACAGTTTGAAGAGAGCTACAATAGTGTGAGAATTTCATAGTTGGCAGGGTTTTCTTATGAATTAATTTTTAAAGTAAGAAGTTAACTTTAAATACATAACTTGTGTTTTTTACATCCTTTTATTAGGATGTACACCTATACTAGTTAGATCAGGTTTGAAGAAAAAGCATAGACAGACAGATCTGTATGCTATTTTATAATAAAACAACTGTGATGGGACCTTATAGTAGGACAGAAAGATTCCAGGACTACCCTAGCATGGTTATTAGCCATGCCTGGTGCACTTACAATGAATGCCCAAGCTGCAGAGGGAGAAATATTTGAACACTTGGGTGTCACCTATTTTTTAGTCCTTCTACTGCAAGCTTTCGTGCTTGCTGCCTTGCAGTAGCAGCTCTGCAGCCTGGAACTAGCCCTCATTTTTTGGTCTAGGTAATGAAATTAAGAGGGAGAGAATAAGATCAGCCATTTTAGGAACAAGGACTGTTATCAAGCCCTGAAGAAAATAAGCATAGAATTGTATAACCCAAAAGTTCTTTCTACATCATATTCATAAGGTAAGGAGCCTTACAGACTACCTAACATCTTATTAAAGAATAATCACAATTATAGACTGAAGGATTTAAAAATATTTACTTTAATGATTCAAAAAAAAAAAAAAAAAAAAGGAAGAAACTTTACCTAATGTGAAGCTATTATCTAGCTGTTCTCTGAAAATATGTGGGGTACTTTTTGTGGTTTGTTTTCATTACCTCTGCTGGAGTTTACAAGCACTATTTTTTTGAGTTTGTACTCTAAATAGATTCCAACTGTTATATTATGACAATTTTAGTGATACTAAAATATCAGAAGAATGAAATTCTTACATACCAAATCCTATTATATTCAAGGGATTCCTGTATTTTCTAATTCAATTTACTTTGTCAGAGAATATTTAAGAAAATGGAAGACAAATCTGTCACTTCGGGTGAGGTTCTTTTGTGAAGTTATATATGTATCATAATTTTCCTGAATGTCTGAAATTAAATATTTAAACTTTGGATTTCAGGTTATTATGCTGATAGATGGAAAAAAATGTTAATCCCAAACAGTTCACCAACAAAAGCTTATTTTGATACCACGGACCAAGACCCATTCTGCAGTGAGTGACTGAATACATGTATAATGAACTCTTTATGAAATGGCTGTTATTTGTTAGCTGATAGCTGTTATTTGTTAGCTGATCTAGAGTGAAAGCATGTTAAGAGTAGAAAGTTATTGTTAGCTGGTGTGTAAAATGGTGTAATAAACCATGAGCTAAGTGTCAGTTTGCAGACTGGAGGAAGAAGAATGGTTGTGGCAGAAGAGTAAGTAATAATGAAAACATTAAAAGCAATGGGATAGACTGCCAAGAGGAAGAAGGAAGCCAGAAAATGAGAATCAAGTGACAGGGAAAAAGCTGGGCTGAGAGAACCTGCTTAGACTGGATCATTGCTGCCATCTTCAGAGGGCAAAAAATGGGAGATTGCCCTGGGTGGGGGACAGCAAAGAGACACCTCTATGTTCCATCCCAGAAGGAGAACACCACACAGTCAACTACAGCTACTCCAACTTTTAAAAGTCCATTTCTTCCTCAAAGTAAAACAGTGGAGGGAAAACTTAGCTTCAGGGTTATACTCCATGGGAATGAATTCTCATGGCATGGGCTTTAGCTGCATCAGTTTAGGTATCTAAATATCCATGTAGATGTCCTGTTTAGATTTTCATTCAATTTCTTTTATTAGCAGACTCTACTATCACAGGCAAATGTTAGCACACTTTTCTGATTGGCTATGTTTAAGGTTCTTTGATTTGGGGTATGGACATAGGCTTATGGGGAATTCAAGTGAAATTAAGTTTTCCCATTAGCTTTTTCCATTGTCTTGGCAAGTTTTGTGACCAGGGACTATCTCTTTTTATAGTGATGATCATGCTTACTTACATCACTGTTTCTTCCAAAGGGTCAAGGAGAGGCTAACAAAGATGTGATTGATTTTATATAAATCAACTCCTATTCCCAGTGCTCTTTCAGCTAAACCCAAACCTGCTACCACTGTTTTTCCCTGCTCTTGTCTGCTTGGACTTTGCCCCTGCATACTCTCAAGGCTGCACAGGCCTATAGGTCTGTCTCCTTATTCATACTTCTAGCAGAAAAATACACTTTGAAGTAAAGAGTCACCATTCCTATCATCAACTAATGTATATGTTTAACAGGGTGATAATAACAACTATATCCTGTTAAGGTCATGCCTTGAATCTATTATTTCCTATTTCTTTTTGCAGTGTATAACTACTTACTGGATATTACTACCTGGAATAAAAACATTAGGAGAGGTTTCATTAAAGTTAAATTAACTGACTATGCTGGAAACACAGTAGAATCAGAGATGAATAGGTATGTTGTGCTTTGCCTCTGAATCTCTTTAATCACTTTATAGGACTAATTTTCTAAGTTTCTTAAACCTTTAACTTGTTAAGATGTAAGTAAGTCAAAAAGTATCATGAGATTGTTAAGACTTTTCCACAGCTCCTTTCTGGATATAGCTTACTGTCAGAGCCAATGGCCCTCACACTAAAACGGTCCATTTATGAATTACCACAGGTCCTTGCATGGTGCTAGTTTGAATCCAGTTCTAGGTGTCCTTGTTCTGAATGCTCAAAGTTGATACATCTCACGAGATTTTTGAACTTAATAAATTCTTAGTAACAATGAATATTATTCATCTAACACACCCCTGACTCAAAATATCATTTTTCTTTAGTGAAGCTTCAACATTTCAGCAATATAAAAGAGTCAAAATACTAACTGGATTTTACCAAGACCTTGACAAAATATCAAAAATGTCCTTGACCTTTTCTACGAAGACCGTAATAGGACCAAAACACAAGCTTAGGGTTCTCCAGATGAGGCTGAAATCTCTCAATAATCCAGAAAGGTAAGTGTTTGTCATGTATCCAAATTATGGATGTGCTCAGGATGTTTCCTCAGAAATGTGTGTTTCCCTTTATTGACTTTTTAAATAATGTATTCCTAAAATAATTAATAATGTATTCCTAGATGCATGAATATCCTTCTCATCCTACTAGGGTCAAATTTATCATGTGGAAGAGCTGCTCATTAACATTTAGTACAGAGCACCCTTGTACATGTAGATGTCATGCATGCTGCCTGTTACAGGAGGCTGCTGCTGCTGTCTGGTCACAATGTGTTTACAAGGACCACTTGTGTAGACCAGCCTGACTTATACCTGCACGGTTAAGATCTCTTCCAGAAGATAAATTTTATTAAGAACTATTTTTACCTTAGTCATGTGTTGGTACACAGCTTTTCACACATGAAATGGAGCACTTCAGCCACTTGTGTTACTGGAATAGGTTTTTGGTCTTGTTGCTGTAGACAAAGACAAAGACCTTTGAAGACTAGCACTTGTGCTTGCTTACACTAAAAATGAAATAATCTGCATTTTTTTATAATTGTGTCATTAATAAGCTTTTATTAATTATATCTGGTTTTAAATATTTCAGCAGTATTGCCATATGTTGGCACTGGAATGGGTTGCCCAGGGAAGTTGTGAATGCTCCACCCCTGGTGGTGTTCAAGGCCAGGTTGGACAAAGCCTTGGATGGCATGGTTTAGTGTGAGGTGTCCTTGCCCATGGCAGGGGGGTTGGAACTGGATGATCTTAAGGTCCTTTCCAACCCTAACTATCCTATGATCCTACGTTCATTATTTTAAATCTCCAGAGGTACTTGTACCATAACACTACCAATTACATTTAATGTTTGCATCTTGTGAAAATAACGTATTAGATGGAATAGGCAGGAAATATCCAGGAGTAGCAAGAGTATGTTATATTAAAATCATTACATCTGTTTGCTTCATATGAATGGCAGATTCAACAAAGTCAGAATTTAAAATAAAGCTCAGTAGTGATAAGTAGTGGTACTTATCAAATAAATAATGAGTGGGAATAATACTACAATATGAGTAAGTTTAAAGCCAGTATATTTTGTTAACTTGAGAAATAACATTTATGGCTTTCTGATTTGGTATATGATAATAGTCTAGTAGGAATTGGGTACGATCCTTTGTAAACGTTATGAAACCTTGCTATCTCCTATTTTGGATTTATATCTCCTATTTTGTATTTCATGGAAAAGAGGGGAAGATAGGTGAGACAGACTTAGGAAGAAACAGAACACTAGGTAATCAAAATAGTACCCCAGAATGAATACTCGTTAAGATATGGAAGACCGTAAGTCTCAAGCTATCAGGTGAAGTGACATGACTTTGTTGAAAAACAGGTGGTGATGAGATACGGTAAAAGCTCTAAATCATATTGCAATCTTTTTTCTCAACCTGATGGTGGTAAATCAGAAGATACATTTCATGCAACCCTATCAACATTCAGGACTTTTTCAGTTAATGACCTAGCAAATACAGAAAATCTTCAGTCAGTACCCTTTATGGTTTAGAGTTTCCATTCCTGTTACTCTGACTCTTGTTAGTTTTAAAGTAAGATGCACTTGATTTGCTTTAAAGTAGGAACCATTAAAATCCTTCATACGGAGCCTGAACAGATGGCAGTCATATAAGCGCATTAGATACTTTTAGATGGCAATGGAAAATAGTGTTTTGAATCAGCTTGTGAAGGCAATTTAAATGCAGATGTTACAACACTATTGGTTCATATAATTACATAATTGCTCATTGTAATTATAACTACCTATATTTACCTTATTCAGTTACATGTAATTACAACAATTACTTGAATACAAGATAATCACCCAGAAACTGCATTAAAAATATTTCAATTATCCACATAATAAAGTAGTAGGTAAATCCAGGGGACTGGTACAGGGATAAAAGACAATAGAAATCTCAGGCTCCCCAGATCTGGGTTAATAGCGGACAATGGGAGTTTGAGGAATTTCACCAACCAATTGTCTACTGGGCTGGTCCATTATTCACACAGGTGGTATGTGAATGTGAGAACGCTAAAAGGTACATATAATTTTCAGATTATTCTTCTGGTCTCCGGGATAAATCCTTCCTGCTCACTCATAAAGCCAGGAAGTTTTCCAAACTTCTACATGTCCAGGTGTCAGCTGTTCCAAAGAGCTTTTGAACCTGTCAGTCACTTAACACTTAATTGATGGAGAAAGTGAAGGTCTTAAAGATACTTTGCCCAGCTACCTTTGGGTTTCTTTAATGAAAACAAGAACAGGAGTAATAAAAAAGAAGACCTTATTAATACCTTTACTGAACAAGTGAGTGTGGCATGCCCTTGCTTTTTAGTAGATGGCAATTAAACCACATGGGCTAAGGGACTGTAAAAGCCTCACATAACAAAAACTGTTTTGTTTTGCTCTTTGTCAGTGAACTGGAGAACTTGCTCCTCACTCAGGACTACTCTGCCATAAGCCATTCCTGGTACTCAGTAATCACAAGCTTAGATGGATTGCACTTAAAATTAGACAGAATATGTCAAAACCCATATGTTTTTATTTCTAGTATTCATCATTATGGCTTGTCTATGTACTGTGTCCCCTGTGGTTAGATAAAGCCCTTCCCAGGTGATGACTGCTGGTGGAGAGCTGGCTACGTTAACATATTGTGCTGATTGTTATGTGAAATGGTGAAAGTCAACTCAGGAAATGGATGCATATAATAATCTTACATTGTTATAGCTGGAAATTTGCTCTGTGAATTCTTTCACAGTCTTTTACAAGGACTATTAAAATGCTATCATTTTCTGTGCTTTTCTCCCTGTATAAAAATATTATTATTGTAAACCATTGAATTAAAATCAAAACAAATTGTGGATGAAGGACTGGATGAAATTTTATGCTTTGCATTATACAGAAAACCAGAATTTGTCTTGATCTTTTTAGACATAAAATCTAGTCTTAGCTTTGTAGGGACCTTACAAAGTTTCAAGTTCATATATAGAAATCTGACTCCTTTCACATGCAGACAGGTAGAGACTTGTTGAAAATCTCACACTAATAGGCAACAGCAGAAAGGTTTGGCAGGATGCTCTTTCTCAAGCTTTGTCCTTTAGTTGTTTCACTGCACACTACATCCCAGTCTGAGGCAGATTATGTTCTATAACCTTATTGTGTGTTCAGAGCAGTATAGATGATAATTCTAAATAAAATAAGTATCATAGCTAGTACACCGTCAGATGTGCCATCAGAGGGTACACTAGTCATTAGCCTGGACATACCAGCTCTCACCATGTATAGTAGCACATGAAGGGCAGAGCTGTGACCGTCTTCTGCCCTAAAAGGTAGAGCATCCATGTTGACCTCAAAAAGTAAGATTCTGTGTGTTATGTCTCCCTTTGTATGTGCTCATGTAGTATTACGCAGTTCTGAGTTTTCTAGATGTTTAGATGGCAAACTATTCTCTTGCATGAAACTTTCTTACACTTGCTGTCATTGCAACTGAACGAGTTATATGATGTGGTGTTCTACTTTCCACTGTGGAATGAAAGCAGAGAAACTTCAATACGTAAGGAACTCAAAATAAATTATTCAGGTCCAGCATTGACAAGAATTGGGCTGTTCTTGGACCATTGTTCTGAAGAATTAATATGAATGCAGATTAATAACTTTAATGCTGAAATATTGCATCTTCGTATTTCAGACTAATGTGATACATTTCTTACTCATGCCACTTTGCACCATCCAGCTATTGTCCTGGTTGTTCTTCAGTGTGGCAAAACTACTCTAGAGATACATAAAATAGGGTGTAAACTTAAACAAGATATTTCTTCTTGTCCTAAATACTGTCTCTGAGAGCTTGTACATACTGGGGATTTAATGTTTCAAATACTGAAATATTTTTATATTAGTGTTAACTTCTGTTGTGTTCATTTTTTTTTCTACTTTTTGTAGGCTGCAGCTGTGCAGATATGATTTGGTACTGATGGAGAACACTGAAGTGACCTTCAAACCTATCCCTTGCCTAGAGAAGGCTACATGAAGAGAGCTTCTATTAACCTAATTTCTCTTGCAGCAGTGACATTTTGATTCTTCCTCAGGATAAGGACTGCAATGAGAAAGGGAATGAGATAAGCTAGATTTATTTTCAGGATCTAGCTGGTAATATGCATTACTTGCTTTGAGTGCCTAAGGGTGAAATGAATTTAAAAGTTCACGTATCTATGTATTTGGGAAATTTGAATAAAGTAAAGGTACCGTGGTGGATAACATGCAGTGGTCTATTTATTACTGTTTGTTAGCAGTGAAGCTAACATATGAATTATCTGTATGATCCTGGCACATTATTTGTCAATTCATACATATATTTAATTATTTATTATTTGTAATGGCTTTTATATGGAAACATAGTTATCTGTCTACAAGTGAATTTAATATACTGTACATGTGATCTACAGACCTAATACACAACAGTTTTGTTGTGCTGTGCTGGTTGGATAAATGAATTCACAATTTCTTATTATATAATGTCTGTCTCAGAACTGGAACAAGAAGATTTGTGAGTACATATATAATTTTTCTATTTAAATCAATTATATGAGCTTTATGCTTATCATAGATGAGTATCATTGCAACCATTCAGATATTTTTGTATCAAAGCTATGGACAGGGCAGCAATGTTTCAGATCTGAAATAATTCTAAAAGTCTATTCTGAAAAGATGAACTTAAAGATTAAATAAATGCATTTTCATTCAATTTCCTTTTGGGCCTTCTGAAATTATAGCTGCTGCTCAGGTTGAGATTGATGACAGCTTTCACCTATTGGTATGTGAAAAAGAATAAGGCCTACATAAAGATATCCTCCTTCAGTTAAAAAAAAAAAAGGTTTTCCAATGCCATATTGCTTTTCCTGATGCTACTTATTGAAGAACAGATGCTTGTATTTTTCATCTTATGTGTTTAACCTGGATTTCTCGTGTAAATGCATCCTATGCATGTTATCTTTTCCCTTTCTTTCCTATGCTGCTGCTGTCCCTGCTTTTGACAGCAATCCTTGGTTGAACCTATTAACAAATTTTGTCTGAATGTCAGTGGAGTGGGATGTCCAAAACCTATGGAATGTAAGTTTTATTGGAAGTCAACAGCTGTGTTAGAAGGAAGATGGAAGATAGTGTCCTAAGGAAGCTAAGGCAAGTTACAGCTTCCCCTTTTCGTTGCAAGAGGCAGATCCACCATGCTGGTCAGTATGTCCAAAGCTTTGAACCAACCACTGCACATGCTTTTATGTCTCTAGACACAGCAAAAAAAAATACAGGACCACAGACAGACTGGGTCATGGATTGATTATTAAAAAAGAATCATTTATTCTATACAAATAATGATTACACTGCCATATGTTTTCTCTGGTGGTGTCTTACTTGGCTTTATCATTTTATTATATAGTTCTTTGTTCCTTTCCTATGAGGAAGTCATTAGGAGGTACATGGTACAAGACATTTTTGTCTGCTTATATACATGTGTATGGAGGGGTGGGATTTATTTCTCCTCCCTTTTTTTTTTTAGTCTTTTAAACTGCCAGTTTCCTGCTTGTTTTCTTTCTGCAGTTTTTTATAAAGCCTTGAGCTCATCAACCTCATTTTCCTCTTCACTGGTCTCTGAGACTCCTTTTTTTCATCACTTTGCCTCCAAATACCTGTTTCTTGTATCACTTTAAAAAAAGTGTAGAGACCTGAGAGTAAATTTTAAATGTCTTTAGATATTTAAATTTGAAATGTCTGAAGAATTTTTCAGTGGGTGACATAGGTGTTCAGGCAGAGACATGTATCAGACGGCCTCTTAAGTTTCCTTTTAATGCTGCTTTCTAAAACGTCTCTGAAGTTTTGTGGTTTTATATGCTTCTTGATTTTTTTTTAATTTTTGTTTTGTCCCTTATATTATCAGGGTTTTTTTTTTTACTGATTTTATGCCCTACTGCAAAGAACTAAAATATAAAGGTATGAGTATGATTTTTAACTATAAACTTTTATTTTATTTGAGATGCGCATTTACCAGTTAATACCCAGAAAAATTAATGAGATTTTATTAGCTCAAAATTGACAGCATAAAGGATTCATATAGCTCTTTCCAGTAATGGAATTGAGTGCTTGTTTATTACCAGAGCTATTATTGATGTAGCTGTCAAATGAGGGTATCTTTTCCCCTGTTTTGTGGATTGTTTACCTATATGAGCTTGATTTTCAACAGCTTACTTTGTTTAGAGAGACATAAAAGTCCGCCTTTTCACCATTTGCTGGGGTCAGCCTTTTCACTATGAACTATAGCCTTTGCCATTTACTTACTCCCAAAATTAGAATAAAACTCTGGCAATGCAGCACTAATATATACTTTTAGGCAGTAATCATAACTCATAGACAATGGCCTACTAGCCTCCTCCATCTTTATCTACCACACAAATACACTGGCAAAATGGTGGCTACACAAGCAGTTGTGATGTATTACATAGAACATAAGACATAAGCAAAAAAATGTGCAAAATTGAAGACTGAGATGCCTTCCTAGAATTTTTCTGTTACAAATGCATGGCATAAATGTGAGGTAAGGTGATGTTGAAAGGATACCTCACACAAATGTGAGGTAAGGTGATGCTGAAAGGATACAAGGAGGCATGCAGACATGACTGACAGTGTGGCACAGTATAAAGGTAATGGCAATATTTTCACACATTTTAAACATAAAAAGGGTAAGACAGGAATAGTGATTTGTTGCCTTGATTTGGGTAAACTTTGGGTAAAAAGGAAAGAAGCAGCAGGGTTGACAAGGACGTTGCAATAAACGACATGGAAAGAAACTTCCCCCCCCCCATTTTAGTTGGTAATTTTAATTTCATAAGAAGGACTGTTCCAGGCAGTGCATTTCCAGCACATAATTGTACTTCTCAAGTGGCTAAGCACTTGGACTGTAGCCTTGTGTCTCCCAGCACCAGCAAAAATGTGCTGTAATTGTTCGGAAATGCAGTGCTTTCTTATGGCTCGCTGCCACATGCTACTTCATACTGAATTTATCAGCTCCTTCCGGCTCAGCAGAGGATGCTACAACCAGGCAGAAAATTAAAATCTTCCAGGGAGTTCCCTGTTTTGAAGCAAGTGGTGATGGTGCTTTCAGTGGAGCACACTTCTGCGTCAGAGCGGAGGAGAGCCTGGACTCATTGCCGTGCTGTTCTGCATTCTCTGCCAGAGTACCAAATGTCCACTAACATTCTTCATTTTACTACAAAAATTTGTACGTATGTTTTCATTGGGAAAATTCAGAACGAGCTGAAAGCTCCAAATCAATTTCCATTTAGAAAATATAAAATGAAGAAATAGGTCATTTCACACTACTTTGACTTGGAATTAAATATTTGCTTTATACAACTACCCCAAATGCTCCAATTTTCTCCTGGTTTAGTACTTGGCAACAAGCACTTGCCTGGGTGGCTTGGTGATACTATTGTGCTTTGATTTTCTCACCTGTAAAATTGTCCAGTCAAGAAACACTTCCCAATTTGCAATGATAAATTGTGTTAATGTTATTGTAGAAGTTTGCTTGTATCTATTGTGTTTAACCTTAAGGAACAATCTCTATACACATGAAGAAAGATACATCCCATGAGTAAATGGAGGCTCTGTAATTAACCAGTATATAGTTGTAATACCAAAGGGATCTCATTAGTATATACTTGTAGTGATGAACTCTGAGTTACTTCTATCAAATGCAACAAGCTTGGGAGAGCTAATGAAATATTTATATTTAGCATTTAGTCACAGGGAGATGAAATTGTTAGGGGACAGGTTTATAAAAGTAATATAAGCTATTTTTTTCTTGTGTTTGTGTTAGACCTGGTTAGCATTTGATATATTCATCTTTTATGTATACTATTTCAAATGAAATGACAATGAGGTTATGTCAAGAAACTCAGTAAGCAGTAGTAGTCACTGGAGTAGGCAGCAGCTTACTTAGAGAAAAACCAATGCATAATACAGAAGATGTCTGCTAGATCACTCTCTTAATTCACAATAGGTTGAAGTGGTCTAGATTAAAGATATGTAGAACAAGACCATTTGCTAGTTTAATTTGGGATGGCTTTATTGATTTCAGTGATCCTATATACAGTTAAGCCTGTAGTTTATGATCTCCGCCTCAAGGATTGATTTCACATTGGGATTTCTTATTTGTATAAGGTGAAGTACGGATATATGTTGGTGGAATTAATGGCTACATTTATATGCAGCTAAGTGGAAAGCAATTTAGTAACGAGATGCTGAAAGGTGATCGGATATCTTCTTAGGAAAAAGAAAGCCCTGTAAAAACATCTGCTCTTCTTATGTGGATTTTGTAAATAGTGTTACAGGTTACTTCTAAAGGAGCATTTCATGGTAATTAATAATCATATGAGACATTAATGTCTGGATAGTAAGCGGTGGACTAATACAATGTAGATGGTATGAGTGTGGAAGGAAGGATTCAGACATGGGGAGCTAAAGAGGTACTAAATCAAGATTTAGGCTAAATCCAGAGTCACTTTCTGCATGTGACAGCTGCCACTGACAGCACTGAGTAGGTACCTGAAGTTATTTTTTCACTTCGAAGTTTCCAAGGTTGCTGCTGAGCATATCCACATGCGTGTACCAGTCTTAGTCCTGAACAGTTTGACGCTGTCTTCTAGCTAATCAATAGTTCAAGTCTAAGCATGCCTACACCTCTACCTTCAGTCTGATGAGCATGCCTGGTGCACATCTTTTGAACTGAGCTCCATACAAAAAAGTTGAGACAGAATCTGCCTTCTGTTAAAAAATCGTAAGGAAAGTGTTATGCTACTGCTCCCTCGCAGACACACTTGATGGTTAGGGTACCCTGTCTGCGATACACGTTACTTGTCCATGGCATAAAGAAGATTTAGGTCTACATCTATGGATTCCCAAGGGAGTGTTAGTGCCACCATGCTCTAAGCCATCTTGGGCTGGGCCACTTTTGTCCCTCCTCTTGAAGGTGTGCTGGCATGCAAATGTGACTAAGATTGACTCGGGTAGAAAAAACACAGGTGAGCCCAGCAAAGGGAGTACTGTACTCAATAGGAGAGGGACTCGTGGGTGACAGGCTGTGCTTCAGGGGCTGCTAAGGAATTCTTTACATTAAATGGTCACTGTAAAAAGGGATAACCCTTAAAGTCTGTGTTCAGTTGTTCTCAGTTCCAACTGTACTGTCTGTCCTTCCTCACAAGGTGAAGCAGCAGCCTGTATGCCTACTAACACAGAGCTCTGGATTTACTGCAGCTGTCAAAGGGGCTCTGCACTGTGGCATTAAGATCCAGTTTTTCAGCTATCACATCCATCTGTGCACTGCAGGCGTGTAGGAAAGACACACTGATCACGAGCTTTATGACCTAAAATGTGGTAGCTTTTAGATAAGCTCAGCTCTTAGGTCCCTGACCTTCTGTGATTTCAGTGCAGCTGGAGACAGTAGTTGTAGACATCAATTGGCATTGCCTATGAGGACAGGATTGGTAATCTTAACTGTTGATGTGAGTCTTGATTGCTCTTCATATGCTCTAGCTCTAGTACTCAGACAAGTACTGTTCTGGTACCACTGACTGACTTCCCAGTACTTATCAGAGTGTATTAGGTGTGTTCTGGGAAAGCATCTTTCAATTTAATTTCATTTATAAGCAGCCTACTCTCTGCATGCTCTGAGACTGCTCTGCAGTGTGAACTAGGATGTGGT